ATCTATATCTATATCTATCTATCTATCTATCTATCTATCTATCTATCTATCTATCTATCTACCTATATATATATATATATATAGAGAGAGAGAGAGAGAGAGAGAGAGAGAGAGAGAGAAATAAGTGACTTCCCTACAGTCACACAGAGAGTGGTTAACCAGAGACTGGAACTCTACATTGTCAGAATCCAAAGTCTGTGCTTCTTATTCAGCCAGTAGGATCAAGGCTGGGCAACTTCATGATATCCCCATGCACCACCCTCCTAAGAGCAAGAGCTGAGGGTCCATGGAGATCACTGGGCTTATCACCCACAGAAGTGTAAGTTCTGAGTAACCAGAAGCATAGGGAGGAGGAACTTCCAGGCAGGATGTCCAAACCTAGATGGTCATCCCCGTCTAGGGGTAACAAGAAGGGATGACGAGAAACGTCCTTGTGCAATACTTGAGAAAGCCCAATGTGGGAAGAACAATTAGACCTCAACTTACTGTCTAGTCTCATGACTGCTGTGTGTCATTGAGTCGGTTCTGATTCACAGTGGCTTTGTAAAGGGCTTCTGAAGCTGTAAATCTTTATAGGAGCAGAAAGTCTCATCTTACTCCCAAATTCTCATGGCAGCGGGTCCAAATTCATTCAAGTGCCTCCTGTATTCAAGTGCTGCGCCCTGGGAGTTCTGACCTAAGTTACATCTCTCCATTCTGTCATCTCAATGTGTATCTCCAAAGCTAGAGCAGTGCCCAGTTGGCTGGACAGATATGGACAGTGAGTCAAAGTGGGAACAGTGCCTAGCACATCCGCAGCGCATGTGACACTTACCACTGTAGCCAGGTGTGATGGGCAAGTTTCTCATGAAGGTCTTGGAAGGCTCCATGATTTCACTCTCTGTTAATGAAGGGAAGGGAAATGAAAATGTCTCAGATGTCACCCTCCTTCAAGTACTGACGGCATGTAGGATGGAGAGGGTAGAAGAATGATCTTACCAGGGGACTGGGAGTGAGAGATAGTACCACAGGCTTACACAAAGCTGGCAGATATGGCTGACTGCAGTTATAAAACCCGCGATCTGAAACTAACGGCCCTTGCTTTCCCATTAATTTAGATATCAGTGTGCGGATCCATCCATCCATTCATTCATTCACCCATCCGGACAGCAAGTGCTGGTCATGGACCAATGGAAAGGGCTGAGAATGTAAAGATGAACAAGTAGCACTCAGGGATCTTGGAGGGGAAGAGAGATGAGGCATCTCTTTAGCCAGGTGGACTCAGGTTGCAATGGTTTTCAAAAGAAGAAGGAAGTTACACACATAACCCCGGGAAATCTGGAATGTCTAAGACATCTTTGATTGTTACAACTGGGGAAAGGATGCTACTTTGTTGTTGTTGTTAAGAGCTGTGGAGTCGATTCTGACCCATAGCTGCCCAGCATAGAGTTTCCAAGGAGCAGTTGGTGAGCTTGAACCGCCAACCTTGCAGTTTAAACGGCTTTGCAGTCTGGCACCGTAACCCACAGCGCTACACCAGGACTCATCTGAGTAGAGGCCAGGGATGCTGTTAACATCCTACAAAGCACAGGACAGCCCCCACTCCCAGCTCACCAAAGACACACCCAATCCAAATGGTTAGTAGTGCCTTAGTGTTGAAAAACCCTAGATTAGAGTAAATTCTGAAGGGACAAGGAAGTCCTCAAAAGTCAGCATGGATTCCAAGGGGGGGTAAGCAGCGGGTGGTGGTGGGCTCATCGAAGCACCAATTTTGGTGATGCTTGCTTCCCAGATGAGACCCCTTCCCTCCTCAGAGACCACCTGTGACACTCACAGATAGGGCCAGGCTTGCTTGTGTCTAGCATCTGTTGGTGATACCATGCCTGTCCCTGCCAAGACAGTTCATCTGTCAAGTGATGCCTGGTGACCACAGTGGTCTCAAGGTAAAGACGAAGTTGATAATCACTGTGGTCCAGAGTGATGGGAGTTTGAAAGACAATTCGGTCTGCACTGAGCACATCAGTAAAGACTGGATGACTCGTAGTTCCCTGGCATCGTATGCTTACCAGATGGGTGGTGTTGATCCTAGATCAGATCCCCAAAGCAAGCCCACTGCCATGAAGTAAATGCCACCTCATAGTCACCCTCCAGGAGAGAGTGGAAGTGCCCTGTGGGGTTGCCTACACTGTCATCTTTGTCAGCGTAGACTGTTCCGTCTTTCTTTCATGGAGTGACTGCGGAGTTGGAACCACAGATGTTTCTGTTAGTAACTCCTCCAGCACTCCTTAGAATCAGCCCTGACTCTTCCACAAACACTTACTGCCACCTGCTTACCGGGATGTGGTAGCTCATTTTATCCTCACTAAGTCCTGAGACAATACTCTTTAATACCCTTTTCCAGATGAGGAGAAAAATGATAGTGGACATTCACAAAGCATTTGCCATGTGTGGGATATTGCTGACTGGGACCGCCCATTGCTTTATTTCATCTACACAACAACTGCCCTAAGGGCTAATTCCTGTTCTAGGCCCCATGTTATAGATAAGAAAAATAGGCAGAGGTTAACTAACTCCTTTGAGAATTCACAAATCTAAGGGAGGTCTTAATAAAGGAGTCCCGCCGGCGCTGTGGTTAAGCGCTTGTCAATTAATGTAAAAGAGCTATTTTAAACCACTAGCCCACCCGGTACACAGCCTTGGACGCAGTTCTAGTCTATCCCGTAGGATCGCAAGGAATTATAGAGTCCTTTCCAGGGCGAGGAACAAGGGAGTCTGCGCAGAAGATCTCTAAACTATGAGACAGGATTCAATTTCCCGGGGGCTGCCTGGAGGAGGCGAGCAAGGGTGAGCCTGGAAAAGCGTCCTAAGGGTGGGTGGGAGGCGATGAGGGGTCAGAAGGCTCATACACCGGCTTCACCTACACAGACCCCCCCACTCCCTGACATCTACACCATCACTCACCTGGGCCTACCGGACCGCGGCCTGGGGTGTCCCTCCGCCACCCTGGACCCTGTCACCTGCTGGCCCTGGCCTTTGTGCGCTCACCGCCAGGGGCGTGCGTGGACCGAACCCCGGGCCTCCTGGGGTCAGTCGAACGCCACTAGTGTGCCTCGAATCTAGGCATTGGGCACTGGGGGCGGGGAGGCGGTGACCCATCGTTGGTCAAGGACAAATATTTAGCCCCCAGAGCAGTTTTCTTTGTCCTGGTGGGTGCCCTCTGCCCTTTGGAATTGGGGGGAGGGGTACGCATAGGGAATCAAGGCCAAAGCCTCCATTGTAATTGAGGTACAAACTGGGGGGGACCTGGGCATGGCTTCTGGCCTGAAAGGTGGCGGGAGCAGGACCCCTGTGGGCCAGGCGGGTGAGTCAGGCTGTGTTGAGGGACTCCGGGGTGGGGGCAGGGGAGGGCAGCCTAGCGTCCTGTAGACATTGAGATACGCAGAGACACATCTATGGGGTTATCAACCACCGAGGCTTGTTGGATCCTAATAAGCAAGGCTACGTAGGTTTCCTGCGTGCACCGTGCAGGTAAAGAGCTCAGGGGGGCAGTAAAGGCGCCTTGCACTGAAATGGAGGAAAGGATGCTAAGGTTCGTTGAATCCTACAGTCTGTCTACTTCCTTCTAACCACCAGACTCACCACTTGTTAAGGGTTGTGAGGACCTGGAGTCCCTGGGTGGCACACACAATTAGCCAGTTGGCTACTGAGCGTTTTGAATCCACCCTGTGACGCCTCCTCGGTTCAGCCACTGAAAACCTAAAGCACAGTTCAGGCAACTAGACTATCCCCCACACCTCACCCCTTAGGAGCTGGAGGCCTGAGCTTCACCTCATGGATTGAAACGCACCAAGCTGTCCACAGCACAAACCAGGTTCCTGCTGTTGGGCGGCCGTTCAAGAGCAGAGTGGCCCCATAGTGTTCTCCAGACTGTAATGTTTAGCCGATAAACAGGTCTTTCTCCACTGAGCTGCAGTGTGAGTTTGAAAAACCATCTTAGCATCCAAGCGCTTAACCTTTGCACAACCCGTGCTCCTTTTAACCCCTAGTGGTGGTTATGTGATGCGGAGCTGGTTCCCACTCATAGGGACCCAGCATAGAGTTTCCAAGGCTTTACGTAAATCTTTACGTGAACAGAAACCTTCCGCTTTCTTCTACGGAATGGCTGGTAGTTTAGAACTGCTGACCCTGAGGTTGGCAGTAACCTTGAGGTAACCAGAGCTCCTTTTAAAACCCTACAGAGGGAAGGAATGGCCGGTAGACGACTAACTGCTCCCTTTACAAAAGAGGAAATGTGCCATGGACCAGGTGACGGCAGGGGGCGCTAGTCCCCAGTGCTTCCGTCCGCCTGGTGTAGCCAGCCCTTCTGGCTGGGAATTGAATGTCTTGTGAATGCTGCCTGGTGATAGAGCCTGCTATTCAGTAAGACACATTTAGAACCCTCTCCTCCCTCCCGGAGTCCCGGTGTGGCGCTGTGGGTTAATGCAGTCAGACTGCAAAGCCATTTGATGGCAGTTTAAGCTCACCAGCTGCTCCTCGGAAACCCTATAAGGGTTGCTATGGGTTGGAACCGACTTGACGGCACTTCACAACTACAATATCACCAGACCATCCAGAAGATTCTATAGGCAACACTGGTGGGTGTTGCAAACAAGGCCTGAAATCATTCCTCGAGATTTTTTATGACCTTCCTTTTGGTGCTGTTGAGCCAGTTCTGACTCACAGTGACCCAGTATAGGGTTTCCAAGGAGCAGCTGGTGAGTTAGAACAGACCTTTTGGTTCAAACCAACCCTGCAGTCCAGCGCTTGATCTCACAGTAGTACCACACCAGGAAAAGGTACTCCAGAAATGTTAATAGAGACTTGATCCCCATCTAACAAAGAGGTCCTTCTTGTTGGCATGACTTAACAAAGTTCATACCACATTGCTAAGGACCTGAAATGCAATCTCCATCACAATGGGTACAGGGGAGAACAGTTTCTAATTCATTTAAAAATCCAGAGTGCACACACATACACACACACACACATATCTGGACTATATAAGATCCAGAGTTTTGCTTTATTAGACCGTTATGAAGACAGAGTTTGCAAGTACAATCCTGTCCAGTTGTGAAATTGCTGCAAAGTTCTGTGAGGTTGGAATTTATCTTGTGTGAACAAGATGCAATGGCTGATATTTTAGGACAAAGTTTCGTATTCCAAGCAGATGGGAGGTGTGACAGGATGGCCAACAACGTTTGTACTAGTCGCTTGCTTATTTCCCAGCATCTCTATGCAGCTTTATTCACAGCTCTTAACATCTCTGCCATGTAAAATTCGATCTTCAACGAATAATGCGTTTTGACTCCTGTTAATATTGGTGCATGCGATTCTTTGCTACCCTGGCAATTCACCAGGCCTGGACTCTAAAAGCTAAACTTGAGATAAATAACATTCTAAGGGTAGGGCAGGCTCTGTAATCGGAACTCACCTTAGCCATCACTCTGCAAAAATACTTACATGTTCCTTCCTCTTCACTATCAGTGTAACTTGCTGCCAGCATTTATGAATGCCTGGGTGTACAGAGAGGACGAGTTACAAAGGCAATCCTCAAAGCACTCCTTCCAAGAGACATGTGCATCAGATAATATGCCGGGGACACTCATCAGTCAAGACAACAGGTCTTCTAACAACTTCCTAAGATGAGAAAATGTACCCAACTATACTTAGCCACTGCTCTTATTCCAGAATAATATGTCAGTGGGTGAGGAAAGACAGAGTTGAGAGTTTCCTTTCAGGAGTGTTAACTATTGGGGTTATAGTTCTTGGACCAGAAGAAAGTCCAATAAAATGACCACCCATTTGATCAGCTATCTGCCAACACTGCAGAATTCAACCAGCTTATTTAAGAAAAACAGATAAGCAGACATCCTCAGTGCGTAGCGGAAAAGACAAAAAAAAAAAAAAAAGTGGGGCTTGACTAAATTACATGCACACCGAATCTAGCAGAAAAGCTGGATTTATGTACCCCTTAAGTCCTCCCCTTGGCCCTGGCATACTGCGAGTACTACACAGGGTGGACTACTCTTTGCCTTCAGAAAGACCACTTCCCTCCTCCAAGTTCTACTTCACAGCCTCACTGCTTAAAGAACTAGAACGCTCTGTGCTTAAAGGCTAGACAGAAGAATCGATACATTATTGTGTTCCTTTAAATACACACTGGGAACTTTTCAGACAGATGTGCATATAAAAAGGTCTAATCAAGTTGTTGATCCAGGTGGCCATTTGTTCAGTTTTCCGATCCTAGGGACCTCTGTGTATTACTCAGTCTGGCATTCATAGTCCATAGCTTGGTATAGGTACAAACGGATGCTTAGTGAGCACAATTAAGAAAGCGAACGTTAACAAAGGGCAGCAATGTCATTAACAAAAATCAAAGAGCATTTTTTCCTTTTTTTATATACATGAAAAGCACATTGTAGAAATAAAGATACTGTACAGTCTTCTAATATTTTATGTACATAAAATTATACCATAACTGAATTGAAAAGTCCTGTTTGTAGAGTAGGGTCCTGATGAGGCGCTGTAGGACAAGTGCTGGACAACTAGCCGTAGGTCAGCAGTTCCAACTCACCAGCCGCTCCTTGGAAACCCTATGCAGGGTCACTATGAGTCAGAACCGACTCGATGGCACTTAACTACAACAACAAAATTGTAGGGTTTAGCTGGCAAAATCAAAGAAAGACTCAGAATATTTAGCTTTTGCAGCAAAGCAGGCAGAAGGCAGCCTGGATAGGAAATCCTGCTACCTAGTTATGTGACTAGCATCTTCTAGTTCTGTGATTAGTATTTCACATTCTGGTCGGGAATTCTGCAGCAGAGGAAGTGAGGAAATTAAGATGAAATGGGTAATACTATTTTAAAATGTGCATACCAACTATGATTGTGGTTTTGTGAATCTAATTTGCATTCATTCTAAATTAATTCTGCTCATTCTCTATTCATCCCATAATGACGCCAGTGGTTTAAAATCAGAATGAATTCCAGCAAATGGAAAAGACAGCGCTGAATAGATCAGGCAGGCTATTGTGAGAGCCTGGATTCTTTTTCCTCAGTTGACTTTCAGATGTTGGAGATGACTGGCTTAGTACCTCGGTGAAGGACGGAACACAGACCCATCTGTAGGTTCTTTATTCAATCCTGAACCTAAGGTTCCTTCCTTCTAATCATTTTCCTCCCCAGGCCCATCCTTCAAGGATTAAAAGTACCAGTACCCAAGCCAGGCAGGGACCAAGGTCCATTCACCAAGAGGTCAAGGTGTGGGGTCACTACTCTTCATGTGCATGGGAACCCTAGTGGAAGACTGGGCATGTAGCTGTACCTATGTTTTCGTTTTCAACCATACCTAAATTTAGTGATGCCCAGTTTTCAGTTACCTGTGGTGTGTACTACAAAATGTAGATTCTGGGCCCCCCTCGCTAAGATTCTGCTGTAGTTAGGAACATGGTTAGGTTCTAGGAATCTGCTTTTAGTAAGCACCCACGCGATTCTGATACAACTCTAACCTGCTTTGGAAAAAGAAATTTTTTTTTTTTTTTTTAAAGCTGACTTAATTTATCCAGTATGGATCTACAATTTCTTTTTGGACAGACTTTTAAAACTGAAGATTTTAATGAAACATCTCATAGAAACATTCTCATATTTCACCAATGAATCTCTTTCGAAATGTGGGAATGAATGGCCACAATTCTATGGTGACTGAGGGTGACCAAGAGGAGGAAGTCAGTGTGAGAAATGTATACCACAAAAGCAAGGGAAATTGGGCTTGGTGACCTGAGCTTGGCGAATTGTAAGCTCATTTCCTCATGCAGAATTCCTACCAAGAGTCACTAGTGCTCATTACGAATTCAGAAGTCAGGATTTGCAATCAGGGAATTAGATCACAGCCTATGTAGAATTTGGGGCATGTGAGCAGCTCTTACTAATAGCTTCTTCCAATAAAGCAAGATTTTTACCTGTTGAAAAGGTGAACTACCAGCTCTCCTACTCATGTGAACTCTAGTGAATTAGCCAAGGTCATGGAACCTATTTGGAGTTTAGGCGTAGGAAACTAAACACTCTAGATCCTGAGTCTCCACTTTGAATCACATGATAATGAAAAGAAACAAACCTACAGATGGGTGCATCTTCTAGGGGTTACCATCCTAAACAATGTAAAAAGAGAAATCTCAAAGAGATGAAGAATCTCCTCATGACTCAAAGGTCTCATTTCAAATCTAGACAGAGCAAGACGGCATCCTGAATTTCACATCACGGAGAGGAGATCTGTTCATTCAAAGCAAGATCCATCCCTGCTGCAGAAACTGAGTCCCTTCATCTGAATCCTTTGGTCTGCTTCCCCACGTGTGTGCCTATGAAAATGAGCTGCTCTGCTCGGGTCCATGAATTTCCTCCTCCCAAACCTCAATCTTACTGTGACGATTTTTCCCACTCCAGTGTGTTCTCAAAAGTTCCTGGTTATTCCTAGTCCTGGTGGTGGTTCTCATCTTGGCTGCTGAAATCTGGTGGGTCATGTCAAAGGTCAAGGTAAGGGAAAGTACAGTCGGGCTTGAGGTCTGCAGGTGCAGGTGAGCTGAGTCCACAGGGCCCGGTGGCAGGGAGGGCTGGTTAGTAATTTAAGAAGTCTATCCCAACTTTGACGCTCTTGGAGCTAGCGATATCAACAGCTGTAGCCTTGATCTCGGTGTCCCCAAACTGCATGAGGGTCTGGATCTCTCTCCGAGCGGGCACAGCTGGGCCACTGGTACTGGTGAGATCCAGGCGGAGCGTGCCACACTTCTTCACTCCAGGGTCAGTGATAAAGCTGACATTGTCACTCTCAGAGCTGTAGATGTTGATGACAATGACCAGCTGGGAGGGCTTGGCTGGGGTGTAGCTCCGCTTGACCAGCTCGCCCAGAGCCACAGACTGGTCAGCTGAGATGAACTTGTCGAAGACATCGGTGCACCAGCGGGTACCATCCTTTACCAGTAGCTTGTCAGGCGGGTGTTTGCCCTCCACGTAGCGGTTCAGCACGCCCACCCCATAGGTGAGGGGCGACCGGCGCACCTTGATTACGGCCGGATCCAGACCGAAGAGGACAGCACCCTTGAGGATGGTGAGGCCCACGTCCTGAGGGATGATGATCCGACACTTGTCACCAAAGGCCGCCTGCACTGCCTGCTGCAAGAGCGGCGCCTCCGCAAAGCCGCCCACCAGGAAGAGGAACTTGACGGTGGCCACCTCAGGCTTCTGAAACAGGTCCCCTGAGAAGGAATAAGGGAGAACATCTTGTCACCCAGGGTCAGCAGGTGGGAAGACCAGATGACCGGAAGGAAGGGAGACTTGTTTTGAGGTCTGGGATTTCTGTAGCGCTATCTTTTAGAACAGGGGTAGGGGACATCTTTTTTTTTCTGCCAAAATTCACAGGCCAGACAAAGTAATTAAATTAAAACTTAGCTTGCTATATTTGGTCAAATATTTAATTAAGTCACCCCTAAAGCACGGTGGTTTTAGGGATGAGTTAATTAAATATTTGACCAAATGGTTAAGGAGCTCTGGTAGCATAGTGGTTACGAATTGGGCTGTGAACCTTAAGGTCAGTAGTTCGAAACTACCAGCTGTTCCATGGTAGAAAGATGAGGCTTTCTACTGCTGTAAATATTTACAGCCTCAGAAACCCTGTGCAGGGTCGCTATGAGTCGGAATCGACTCGACAGCATTTAACAACAACAACAACAAGGCACAGTGGTTATGAGTCGGACTGCTAACCTCAAGGTCAGTGGTTAGACAGTATCAGCCATAATTTGTTATGCACAAGGTCTATAGGTAGGCTGGTATAGATATTATTCTTTGTTATATATATATATATATATATTTATAACAATCCCATTGCATCCTATGGGTCTATGGGTACTGACTTAGTAGTTGAATGGGACGCGGACATTGTCCCCAGATGGGGCCACTATATGTCCCTGGGTGAGGACCACTGATGTAGGACTATGGGTAACTCCACAGCCCTCTTTCATGAGATCTCCCTTTGGTTCACAGAACCATTCCTTTCCAGCAAGTATTATAACTCCCAATGTGTCCTGGTAAAAGCAAAGCATATAAGAGAGTAAGTCAAAAAGTATTGCTACCAGGGTTCTGGAGTCCTGGTGTGGTGCTGTGGGTTAATATGCTGGACTTCACAGTTGGTTTGAACCACAAGGTCAGCTGTTCAAGTTCACCAGCCACTTTTTGGAAACCCTAAACAGGGCCACTATGGGTGGAACTGACTCAAAGCATTTAACAACAACATTATGAAGTAAAGGAGCCCTGACATCCTAGTGGATTATGACTAGGCTGCTAACATATAGTCAACAGTTCAAATCCACCAGCCGCTCCGTGAGAGAAAGATGAGGTTTTCTGCTCCTGTAAAGATTTAAAGCCTCAGAAACCCTATACAGGGTCCCTATGAATCAGAATTGAATCAGATACACACCACCACCACCATTATGACGAAGTTTGAAGAAACTGGAGAACATATTGATGAGGTACAAGGCAGGGAAGCTGCGCCTTCCGTCACGACAATGCACCTGCTCCTTCATCTAGGGTGACGAGCTGTCCTATGGGAATTTTCTTGGGAACCCTTACCTTATACACCCTATAGCCCTAATCTTACCCCAACAGATTTCTTTTTGTCCCCCAAACTCAAAGAACATTTAAAAAGGAACAGGATTTGAGCTCTTTGAGGATGCCAAAATTGTTATTTTAATGTTCTGTCAATTTTGTTGTTGGTAAGTGCTGTTGAGTCGGTTCCGACCCATAACGACCCTCTAGAGGGTTTCCAAGGAGCAGCTGGTGAGCTTGAACCACCAACCCTGCAGTTCAAATGGCTTTGCAGTTTGGCGCATTAACCCACAGCGCCACCCCAGGACAATTTAACGTGGTGTAAACTGAAGAGCGCAGAATTCTATGGGGAATGATTGTTGTTAACTACCGTTGAGTCAGTTCCAACCCACAGAGACCCTGGACAGGGTTTCCAAGACTGTAAATCTTTACAGGAGCAGAAAGCCTCATCTTTCTCCTGCGGAGCGGCTGATAGTCTCAAACTGCTACCCTTAAGGTTCGCAGCCCAATTCGTAACCACTACGCTACCATAGTTCCTTTGGGGAATGATTAGAGAGATGGAAAGACCGCCTTCAGAATTGTATAGACCTAGACTGAGGAGATGTGGAGAAACAAAAGCTTCACAAGTTGGTATTTTGGTTTAATAAAGGTTTCTGTGATTTTGTAGCAATCCTTAATTTTAAAGTTCCCTTTGACATCCTCTAGGATAACATTGTTCTAGAGCTCTAAGCCCTCTGGCTTTTAAAGGCCATCTGAAAGCCTGGCTGAGTGCAGACTGTCTGATGCTCTGTGTGCCTGAGAGGAGGGATTTGGAGCCTCTGCCAAGGAGGAACTTAAATACAATAAGCTCCTCGGGCCATGCCCAGGTCCTGCCCACTAGGGGGCTCTGGCCCCAGGCCCCCTGCCAACCTGACTTCTCAAGCACTGTTGATGGAACTGGAAAACACCTTTCCCATGCCCACCTGTGCCTACTGAGTGGCCAAGTCCTGACAGGTACTCACGGAGATGCTCAATGATGCTGTCGATGGTGGGCTTGAAGAGGGCATTCATGGCGTCCGGACTCATCCTCAGCATCCCCTGGGATGACCACTTCACAAAGTCCACACTGCAGAGCATGGCAGAGAGAGGAGTACACAGTGAGTGTCTAAGTTATGCCCAGGCTTATCCGTGCACAAGGGAGGCCAGGCAGACACCCTTTGACTTTGTCAAAGAATGCAGGAGGGGATTTGAGAGTCAAAGGCACCCTTGGAAAGCCCAGAAACTGACAGGACCTGGGCCCTCAGAAGCTGAAAAGCAAAGACGTAACTCTTCTACCTTCATTTTTGGCTGTGGCTGACCTTTCACTGGGATCCCAAAGCTAACCCTATTACCATTAAGTAGATTGGTCTCCTAGCAACCCTATAAGACAGAGTAGACCCTCCTCATAGGACTTCCCCGGCTGTCAGAGCTACAGATCCAGACTGTTGGATCTTCCTCCTGCGAAGCTGCTCAGCACTTAACCACTGGGCCCCAGGGCAGCCAACCCCCAAAACCAAACTCACTGCCATGAGACTGTAAACCTTTACAGAAGCAGACAGCCTCATCTTTCTCCAGCAGAACAGTTGGTGGGTTTTGAGCCTCCTGCGAAGCTGCTCAGCACTTAACCACTGGGCCCCAGGGCAGCCAACCCCCAAAACCAAACTCACTGCCATGAGACTGTAAACCTTTACAGAAGCAGACAGCCTCATCTTTCTCCAGCAGAACAGTTGGTGGGTTTTAAGCCTTGCAGTTAGCAGCCCCGTGCTTAGCCCACAATGTCACCAGTATTCCTTTCTCCTGGAATTTTGTTGTTAAGTGCTGTTGAGTAGGTTTCAACTCACAGTGACCCAGTATAGGGTTTCCAAGGAGTGGCTGGTGAGTTTGAACCGCTGACTCTGCAGTTCAAACTGACCTTGTGTTCAAGTGCTTAGCCTACAGCGCCCCACCAGGACTCCTGGAACAGTGGAGACTAGGGCGAAGGGAAGGAGGTTCATAAATGGAGGACCTTCTTTTGGATGACTCGAGAGGGTGAGATTTGAATACAATAAAGGAGTGTGGCGCTGTAGGTTAATGCGCTGGACTGAAAGGTCAGTTTGAACTGCAAGGTCAGTGGTTCAAGCTCACCAGTGGCTCCTGGGAAACCCTCTACAGGGTCGCTATGAGTCAGAACTGACTCGACAGTATTTAACAACAACAAAGGTTTTCAGGACATGTCCACGTCGTGCTGCTATTTTAAGCCACTCGTGCCCTGGGTACTTCCTCCTGCAGGCTCCCAGACACTTGCCCTCTCCCTGACTGCTGTGTCAAAGGGGGCAGCAGGTCCAGAAGCAGCGGCCTGGAACCGAACAGACACAGGGAGTCAGACTGCCAGGCTCGAGTCCGCCCTCCACCACTTAGTGCTACGGGGCTTTGGACAGGCTGGCTGATGTTTTCTCTGAACCCCATTTTCTCTCCCCGGATCCAGGATAATACTATTTACCTGGCCTCCCACACAGCGGTTGCTATGAAGATCAAGCTAGACACAATGTCTATGAAAACACCAGGAAAACTCTAGCACCAAATGAATGCCAAACAACCAAACACCACCAAACACACTGGCGTGGAGTCCGACTCACGGCGACCACACATATTACAAAACTGCTGTGTAGAGATTTCTTGGCTATAAATATTATTGGGGGATGGGGTCAAACCGCCAGCCTGGGAAGTTAGCAGTCAGGCACAAACTACTGGAGCCACCCAGGGATCCATAAACAAACGCCAAGAACCATTTATTACCCAAATCCACAGTGTGTACCTCTAAAGTTCAAATGGCATCTGTGTCTTTGAAACAAAGCACACACCAGCTGCTTCCTGGCAACACATTCTGGATGCTTCCAAGCCTCCCAGACCAGAGATTTTTTCCATACCCTTGGCCAAAGGACAGTGTGGCTCAGTATTGGTGACCCAATGGGTGGCTGCAGCCAGTGTCCCAGTTGGAGAGCTTGAAGGTACTTGGGTTGGAGGTGCCAGCAAGACTTGGGGGTTCAACTCAGGGCAGTGTCCTGTGTTGGGAGACCCTGTGTTGGGGGACCATCGGGGCAGAGAAAGCATCAGAGCAGTAAGAATGTCACTCCATGGGCAAGAAGAGCCAGAGTTCAATCCATTTTGTTTCCACTAAAAGAACCAGGGCATCTTTGAGAAATGGCCAATGATTTCAGGTCTCAGGAGATGGGACAGATGAGCCTGGAGGACCTTCATAAACTGGGGAGCAGAGATGTTGTCAAGAGGTGCTACCTGTCCAGATTATGCTCCTTCAAAAGAAAAGAAAAAAACCTCATTCATCACTTTGGAGGATATATATATATATACATATATATATAGAGAGAGAGAGTGAATCCTGGTGTGGGGCTGTGGGCTAATGCGTCAAACTGCAAGGTTGTTTGAACTGTAAGGTCGGTGGTTCAAGCTCACCAGCTGCTCCTTGGAAACCCTATACAGGGTCGCTATAGGTCAGAATCGACTGAATGACACTTAACAATAACATATATATATATGTGTATATATATATGTATATATATACCTTCTTACTTATAAATGGAGGGAAAGAACTATTTTGTTTTCCCTGTACGAATTGAATTTCTGGGCAACCAAACTGTTAAGGAGAAGTTTTCCTTCTCTACAAAGATTCTAGTTCCTAAATGCAGAAGGAATGGTAGTCTAAGATGAAGACCGTGTGGCAGTCCCTCAAAGTGAAGAGACCTGAAGGATGATCACTCGAGAAGAGACGCCCCTATGTTAGGTGTCCCCTGATGGGAGGCAATAGGAAATACTACCACCAAATTCTACCAAGGTGAAAAGAGAGAAAAAAAAAAACAAAAACAAAAAACTTCAGGTTATAAAACCATGAGGATGAGGATATGAGCAAAACCCAGAATGCAGGAAACTCCACAGGATAAACAATCCACTTTACCATCTACTAAACTGCAAGGTAAAAATGGGAGGGAAAACTACACACTGAGTGATCCAGGGGAGATCTAGCAAATAATTACTATGAATAGCCCTTATTCAGATGCTGATACAAACTGTAAAAACTTCATGGACAGCTGGAAATTTCTTAATATTAACTAGATATCTGAAGATATCAAAAAGTTATTTGTATGCATGATAATGGTATTATGGTTATGTCACATTATTTATCTATAGCTACACTGACATGTGTATGGACTGCATGCCACCAAGTCGGCTCTGACCCACAGTGACCTTGTACAGGGGAGCAGAAAGCCTCATCTTTCTCCCATAGAGCAGCTGGCGGGCTCAAACTGCTGACCTTGTGGTTAGCAGCCCAACTCACCTGCTGTTGCCCCTGGGGAGTGTGAATGAGACTAGAGACTGGTGGTCTAAGCTGATAGTTATTAAAGCTGGATGAAGGGCTCATTCTTCACGGTAAACACTTGAAAACTTTCATTTTTTTTTTTTTTTTTT